GGGGGCGATGATCTTGTAGAATCCACCACTGATTTAATGCGTAACATCTGGCTACACGAGCGCATTCCATCATCGTGGAGCGAATCACTGATCGTTCCATTTTTAAGGAAGGGATATCGCAACGACTTCGCAAATCACCATGGAATAAGCTTGATCCCAACAATCCCGGCATTGTTTTGTGGATATGAGGCACTATCATAATTTAACACCTGATCTGTCCCCGTTGGTTTGCCGCACACAGTTTTGTTCTTGTTTCCATCCGTTTCACGTACAATTTGCATATCGAAGAAATAGTTTTTCCTTTGTGGAGAGCCAGACTAGAAATGCAGTATTCTATGCTAAGGAACGTGGTTGAATACCGTGATGGTAGACAAAACGGGTTAATTGTTTGACCTTTTTGAAGGACTCTAGTGCACTGCGTAGATTTGATCCCTCCACCGAGACGCGAATCACGATCCCCCGAGTTGAGAGTGAAAACGGTTACTTTAAAGCGCATGTTCGCCAATTTGAGCACACGTCTGTACTGGTTGCAGTACACGGACTGCAACTTTTTAATACCTTTCCTTGAAAATTGTATGAAAGAGGAAAATTACGCCCTGTGTCTCTTGCCAGCCATGTGATAGTCAGCACACAGTGCTCTTGTTATTTAATTGGATAACATCTCTTTTATAGGACTTTTTAATGGGATATCAAAATAACGTGTCCACGAGCTCCTTAGCATGCATAGAGTAGACCATTTTAACCATAGTCTATGTGCTTTTATTCCGTAGAGGTTAGGAGCCTGGTGGTGCAAGCCACTAAGCGATTGTATACCCAATCAAAACTTCCTATTTCCTCCGTCATATAAGCCTACTCTCCATTACTACTGTTCAGAATCCATAAGTCTATACCTTCTCAACTTCAAGTGAATCCAACCAATCGCACCCCATCGGGAACCCCACAATTGAAAGACACACTTGACAAGATACTTAGCGTGCATAAGCTGATGGGTGTGAGTATTACAGTTAGCTTTTCCCTTCGAATCAATCGCCGCACACATCAGCAATGAAAATAAATCCAACTGTTGGTGATTATTTTGACTAAACTGGAATTATTCCCAGCGGTACTCTACCTAAGCACGAGGAGTCAACTCTAGCTAATTCCTGACCGCCTAGTTTCAGAAAAGCTTATAGGTGATAAGCTGCTCACTGCGACGCCTGATCTATTGAATGCTTATGTGGTCCACCACTCCAGGTTTCAGATCCGTGATTGCCGGTTTCCTCACGACATATATATGAATATACAAAATTAAGAGCACTCACATACTCTCGCTAGCTCCATGCACCCAGACCATAAACACGCATTCATCACCCTCATTACCATTCGCGGACTGAACCGCAATGTTGATTCTGTACACCACTTTCTTCGTTTTTCTTCCTCGCTCGCCCTTTTTTGACCGAAACACAAATCTTCCTCTCGTGAGACACCACCTACCTTCAATTCCCGAACTACACTCTCCATTCTTCCTCTCTACCCAAGGCTGGTGCCTGCGCCTTTATTCACTAATCAGTCGCCGCCTCCAGGATCCCAAATCTTGACTTTTCCTATAGTGAATTTCAACGGATGTGGTAAATACTCTGATTTCCTTCCTTGAATCATTACTTTTGTGTTTTTTGTCGCCCCCTCCCCCCATCCCCGCCTATTAGCGGCGACTGTTCCATCCAGGATTCTCTACCATCTAACATTGAACATTTGTTTGCAACCGACCCCACTGCCATGTTACCATCTTGGGAGATTTTAACGTTCACAATCAGGACTGGTTAACACATTCATCTGCTACTTCTCACTTGGGGCACGAAACCGAACACTCCGGCTTGGTCAACAACCTGAGCCAACTAGTTGACATCTTCATACGTGCCCTAATCGAGCTGGTGATCGTGCCCACGCCCTCGATCGAATTCTCACTTCGATACCTTCTTTCTTCTCAAATATTCGTACCTTTCTTCCCCTTAGCTCATCAGATTACTGTATTGTTTCTTGTTCCATTAGGTTTTCAAACTCCGAGTCATCACCCACCTCGAGATACATTCTGACGCTACAACTCAGCCAACTGAGACAGTTTCCGTGATTTCCTAGCTGCTGATCCCTGGAAAGATTGCTGTTTCTCTTCGGATGTTTCCAAATCCGCTTCCAACTTCACCCACATTGTTCTTCAAGGTATGCATCTTTTTATTCCGCACTTTTCCGAACCCGGTAAACCCAGATCCCCTAAGTGGTTCAACACTGCATGTGACCGTGCTGTACGCCTGAAACGTTCAGCCTTCTGTCGCTGGCGCTGCTCGCCCACCCCTCACCCCCTCTTCCACCATCGCTTCATGCAAGCTAGGAACACATACTCGACGACCATCCAGAGAACCAAAGAACGCTTCGTTCACCGTAAAGGCGAAAACTTGGTCTCGTCCGCCACTGGTAGCCGAACATTTTAGTCCCTTGCCAAAGCAAAATGCCGTACTTTCTGCCCTTCCAACTTTCCTCCTATCTGCAATTCCTCTGGTGATCTTGTATGTCAACAAAACGAGAAAGCTGAAGTTTTTGCTTCTCAGTTTGCCGCCAATTCCTCCTTACCCCATTTTCCTACACCTCCACCTTCCTGATTCTTCACTGGAAACCCTTTTATACCTCATATCAGCACTAGGAAAATCCGTCAAACGGTGCGTTCTCTAAACACAAACAAACCACCCGGTTCGGACGGTTTCACCCATCGTCCTCAAAATGTGTGCTCCCGAGCTAGCTCCTGTTTTACCTAGTCTTTTCAGTCTTTTCCTCCAACTTTATTCCTTTCCAACCCCCTGGAAGCACGCCGTGATTTGTCCCATTCCCCATATGCGGAGACCTTTCTAACCCCAACAATTACCGACCCATTTTCCTCACGTCTGTTGTTTCGAAAGTATTTGAAACTATCATTTCTGACCAGCTACGCACGTTCCTTGAACGCGAATGACTACGGCCATCACGACGAGACTGCACCTTAACGTGGTGTGATTGCTTGTGCACCTCTATGACCCAACGAC